CATCTTGCCCTCTTCCGGGTTCCTTCTCTTTTCTATTGTCTTTGAATTTGAGTGCCCTAAGTGTCATGTTTGAACTGTCTCTTCTCTGTTTTCTTTTTTTTTCTTTCCAAGATTTTAATTCAAGTTAGTTAACATATGGATAGTAATGGTCTCAGGAATAGAATTCAGTGATTCATCACTTACATGAAACAAAGTGCTTATCACAAGTGCCCTCCTTAATCACCATCGCCCATTTGGCCCATCCTGCACCCACTTCCCCTTCAGCGACCCTCTGTTTTCTATAGTGAAGAGTCTCTTATGGTTTGCCTCTCTCTCTCTCTCTCTCTCTCTGTTTTTAATCTCATTTTTCTTTCTCTTCCTCTATGTTCATCTGTTTCACTTCTTAAATTCACATATGAGTGAAATCATATGGTATTTGTCTTTCTCTAACTGACTTATTTTGCTTAGCATAATACTCTCTAACTCCATCCACATCACTGCAAATGGCAAAATTTCATTCTTTTGATGGCTGCGTAATATTCTATTGTGTATATATACTGCATCTTCTTTATCCATTGATCAATCAATGGACATTTGGGCTTTTTCTGTAATCTGGTTATTATTGATAGTGCTGCTAAATACATTGGTGTGCGTGCGCCCCTTCAAATCAGTATTTTTGTATCCTTTGACTAAATACCTAGTCGTGCAATTGCTGAGTCATAGGGTAGTTCTATATTTAACTTTCTGAAGAATCTCTACACTGCCTTTCTCAGTTTTCATGTAGTGGTTTCATTCTTCATTCATTCTCAAGGTTTTAATTCCAAAGGAGCACCTTCAGACCAGGGCTTGCCTCTCAAATCCAGATTTGTGCATCAGATTGACTGCTCAGCATCTCCACATGGCTCTCTTAAAGGCCTCCCAAGTTGAACATGCCTGTTGCTGAATCCCTTATCTTCCTCCACCAAACCTAGACCTCCCACAGTCTTCCCATCTCAGATAAGGGTAGCTCTAACCTCCTGGTTTCCCTCTCACTAAGGCCTTCCATGACCTCTACATTTAAAATTTCCAGCTGAAGCTCTTCTGAGCATTCCTTTTCTCTACCTAGTATTTCTCTTCACCACCTGCTTCCTTCTAATGTACTATATGTTTTTGCACTTACTTTATTGACTGTCTTCCTATTGGAATGTAATGTCCCCAAGGGAATATATTTTTCTACTTTGTTCACAGATGAATTCCCATTACTTAAATAATGTCTATCATATAATAAAAGCACAGTTAATATTTGTTGAACAGTGAGTCCCTAGGGAGTTTGGAAATTTGGAGCAGAAAACATGTGAAGAGACCTAAAGAAGTCCAGTCTGGCTGGAGGAGCCCTTACCTGCCAGAGGCCGAGAAGAAAAGAGCAGATTTAAAAGACTAAGAAAGAAGGCCAGGGAGGTTAAAATAAGGAGTGAGGCAAGAGAGTGTTGCCTAGCAATGTCTTGAAGAGTGGGGCAAAGGATAAGTAAGTTTGGATCCAGTTGAAAAAGTCAAAATCTCAAAGCATACAGATCTGGGATGGAGAAGTCTAGCAGGCCACCATGGCAGTGAGTTCTTCAGCAATCAAAGAACAACCTTGGGGGCCTTGAAAATGAAAGGGCCAGGAAAAGCAAAGAGCAGAAAAGAGTTCTAAAGATGAATTAGATTATTTCTGCTCAAAAGAGCAGATTAACCTCATAATGACCCAAGCTAATAAAGTTCCTCTCCTACACACATCTCTTTATTCAGTGATTATTTAGCACCTGTAACAAAGCACTGTACACAGTCCTGAGAAGGGTAGGAAGGGAGGACAACTCGAAGTTTACAAAGTTGATCCTGTTCTGAAGGAGCTCTTGTTTCTCCCACATTTAGATTCCTGATCCCCATTGCATTCCAGCAGACCAACCGCCCTGTACCAGTTGTATATTCACTCAATACTGAATTTCAGCTCTGCAATAATGAGAAGGTATTCCTCATGGATCCCAATACATCTGACATGTCACTGGCAGAAATGGATTATAAAGGGGCCTTCTCAAAAGGTAAGTTGTTTCCTTCACCTGCAAAAAGAGACTCTGGTCAGACTTGAGATGCTTTAGGACAGGTCTCTGCTCAGTGGCTTTCAGGGATCTCTCCCATGAAGATTCCCTGGACTTGGTTTTAGGGCAGCCAAGGTTTAACCAAGGAACAGACCCATAGCCTTCCTTTATGTTGTTTCAAACTAAGATTACATATGTGGTGCTATGATGATTGGCAGTGTGGTAAAATTGTGGAAAACACTGGTCTGAGTGGTAAGAAGACTGGAATTCCCAGCCTGATTCTAAGACACTGTCTTGACTGGGTAAGTTGCTTTATCTCTCAATTACTCAGAGAAAGTACACAGCATGACCCCTACTACCTACGAGCCTCAAGGTGTGAATGTCTACATACTCTCCATCATGCTTTCTCTACTGGAAATGATTCTTCTGCCCCCTCCTCACTTTAAATGTGGTTTTCTTGATGTTTCAAAAGGATAGCTCTTTCTTCTCCTTCAGGTCCCTACTTAAATATTAACCTCCTCAAAGAGGCTTTCCTTGACCATACCAGACAATTGAACTTTGGCCTCCATAGTTTTCACTTTAATGGAATATTACTCAGTTTTATAGTACTTCTCACAATTTTTAATATTCTATAATACATATCACATATTCCTTTATTTGTTGCATATTTCTACCAATAGACTGTGAATTCCGTGAGATTAGAGATTGTGATCAAATATTAAATGTGCACACCATACTACCCAGGGCCTGATGCTCAATTAATATTTATTGATTGAATAAATGAGTAAGTCAATTATCTGCCTTTCTTCTCTCAATTACCCCTTCTGTCTTTGTCGTACTTTTAATCTTTTCCTCCTATCTGAGTTTCTTCTCTCACCCTATAAACACACTCAAGTTCTGCCCATAACAGAGCAAAAAATATCCCTTGACCTGAACTCCCCTTCAAAGTTCAGGCTATTTTCTACTTTTCTTTTCTCTGAGAAGGTTCTTCAAAGAGTAAACACTCACTGTCTCTATGGGCCCTTCTCTGTCCATCCTTTGCAAGCTGGGTTTGTCCTACTACAGCTCAGAACTCTCTTTTCTCAATGACACCAAATTAGTGGATTTCCACACTTTTCCATATTGGGTTTCCTTTGCACCCGCCTCACCTGACACCATCTTGCTTCTCTGACTACTTTTCTCTCTCCCACCCTGGGTCTTCATCCTCTGGCATATCCACGTTACTGTCCCCAGGCTTCATGCTTGGCTCCTTCTGGCCTCTCTCCAGTGCTTCCTCTGGTCATCCCTATGGCTGGGCCCGTCCCTTTACTCTGAACTTCTTAGTCGACTACCCCACAGCCATTCCTTAAGAGTTGACCTTATCCCTGATCTCTCCTGAACTTCATTTCTACATTTCCACATGTAGCTCAGGAACTACCAAACCGCTTCAAATGAATGTCTTTCAGATACCTAGAAGTGTCTAGAACTGGACTTACCTTCCTCTAAACATAGTCCTACCACATCTTCTGCCATAGTGACCACATCATACTCCAGGTGCCCTGGGGAAAAAACCTCGGGGTTGTCTTCCACTTCTTTGCCTCCTGTCTAGCATTAAAATCAGTGAAATCTGACTCCTAGACATTTCTTGAGTTGATCCCCTTGATTCACAGCTATATTATAGATAAGCGTCTCTCACAGAGACCCCCTACCCGATCTCTGTGATTCTAAACTCTTTGTCTTTCCTCCACTCTCCATGTTTTTGAAGCTCCAGTGTATTGCCATTACACCCCTGCTTAAAACCTTCGAGCATTCCCTATTTCTTACACACCAAAGTCCAGGCTCCCAGCATCCTTAGCCTGTGAGTCTCTCCTGCCAGAGCCTGTGAACATCCTCTTCTCTAATCACACTGACCTACTCAGTGCCATATAGCAAATGCTCTGGACAAGAATTTGGAGTCAGACTGCTTTCTGCTCAAATTCTTATCCCCCCTTGTCACAGATATAAAACCTCGGACACATATAATAATTGAACTTATCTCTCGGGCTCATGGGAAAAATAAATTTGATAGCATAGGTAAAGAATGTGGTGTCATAGTAGGCACTAAGGAGACAGGAACTACGCTAGGACCCATGCCCTCCCAGCATTCAGTATTTTGTGCATGGACCTTCTTTTGCCTCGAATGCTCTTCACATTCTCCTACCTCAAACGCTCTGTCTGACAAATGCCTACTCATGTTTTAGGATACTGCTCAAACATTATCTCCTCTTTAAATCTTTCCATACCTCTCCCCAGGCAGATTTCTGTGCTCGGCTATATGCTCACATAACATTATGTGCCTTCCTTTATTGTGGTTCATAACAGTATAGCATTGTGGTGGTTAAGAGGGTGGGTTTTAGAGCCAGAGTACCTTCTCTTTGAATCCCACCATGGCCACTGACTAGCTTTGTGACCTTCAACAAGTCCCTTAACCACTCAGTGCTGCAACTCCCTCATCTCTAAAGTTGTGAGCACTACATGAGTTCTTATATGAGAAGAATTTAGTATAATACCCAGCAAATAGTGTGAGTTTGATAAATGTTAGCTATTTTTAGCAGTTGGTTAGGTTTTATTTCTGTTCTCTCACCCGTATCTCACTTTGTTTCCCCTGTGCATAACAATCCTTGACACACTTTACATGCTTAATTAATGTTTGTTGACTGAAAGAAACTGTAAATGAATGAATGAGCATTTTGGGGACACACAGAATCATAGAGCTCTTCATAGAGAGGCACTTTTGACTCTAAAGGAGTGTGTTAAATCCTTTCTACCCTTGACATTTCTTTCTCTTTACTCTTAAAGTGTGACCTAGTTAATGCCTCTCAATCTTTCCAGGACAAATCCTTTATGGCCGAGTACTTTGGAATCCAGAACAAAACCTTAATTCTGCTTACAAACTCCAGCTGGAAAAAGTCTATCTTTGTACCGGCAAGGATGGCTATGTGCCTTTCTTTGATCCCACGGGGACAATCTACAATGAAGGGCCACAGTATGGATGCATTCAGCCCAACAAACACCTAAAACACAGATTTCTACTGCTGGTATGCTAACTACTTGTGTTCAACAGCTGACACTCAAGTTGATTTCCTCAGCTATTAATTCTGCGTAAGCAGATAGTACCCCACTCTTGACGGTATTCTCTATACATATTGTTGTTTCTCTCTGATCAGCTAAATGCTACTACATATTACCAACTGTGATGGTTATGGCCGGTAACTAGTCAGCTCTTATTAATGTCCCAGAGAAAGGAAAGTCAAGGCCAGTGTTTCTCAAAGTTTGGACCAGAGACCTATGAATATCCCTGATTCTCTTTCAGGGAGTCCACAGGTCAAAACTACTTTCATAATAATACAAGGATGCCTGGTTTTCTTCACACTAATTCCCTCATGAATATAGAGAGTATGAAAGGTTTGTTAATATGGTTTCAAATTCCCCATTATAAATAATCTTTTAAAAATACCACTTACTGAGTTTGATTTACTATCAAAACAGAATATCCACAATTATCTGAAAAAGCTATGAAAATATTCCTCCCTTTTCCATATTTTTTGAGGCCAAATTTTCTTCATATGCATTCAGCCAAAATAACATATTACAACTGATTCAATGTAGAAGAAGATTTTAGAATCTAGTTCTTTTCCAGAGATTTGCAAAAATGTAAAACAATGCCAGGTCTCTTTTAAGGAGATGGGGATGACTATAGTTATTTTTCCTTAAAAAATGTTACTTATATTAACATGCAATGGGTTTTTCATTGCCACTTTATTTTTATTTATTTATTTATTTATTTTTACAAATAGTTTATTGTCAAATTAGTTTCCACATAACACTCAGTGCTCATCCCCACAAGTGTCCTCCTCCATGCCCATCCCTCCTCCCCCCCACATCCATCAGTCCTCAGTTTTTGTCGGCATTCAAGAGTCTCTCATGGTTTGCCTCTCTCCCTTTCCCCAACCATTTCCGCCCTTCTTCTCCCCCTTGTTCCTCCGTCAAGTTCCTCCTAATCCTCCTATACGTGCAAACATATGATATTTGTCCTTCTCTGCCTGACTTATTTCGCTCAGCATAACACCCTCAAGGTCCATCCATGTTGCTACACATGGCCAGATTTCATTGTTTCTCATTGCCATGTAGTATTCATTGCCACTTTAAAATGAATTAGTAAATAAGTAATTTCTAATTTTTCAGTGTTAATTTTAATAGAGTAAGTATTGATAGATACAAATCATATGAACAAAAAGACTTTAGTGTCCTTCGTCTTTTTGTTTGTTTATTTGTGTATTTTTGAGAAAGGGGGAGAGAGAGAGAGAGAAAGAGAGAGCAAGCAAGCATATGAGCTGGGGAAGGGCAAAGAGAGAGGGAGAGGGAGAGAGTCCCAAGCAGGCTCTGTGCCACCAGCACAAAGCCCGATCGATGCAGGACTCAATCTCATGAAACACAAGATCATGACCTTAGCAAAATCAAGAGTCAGACACTCACCCAATTGAGCCACCCAGGATACCCCTTGGTATCCTTGATTTTTAAGTGTGTAAGGGATCCTGGAACCAAATGGCTTAAGAATTATTTGTTTAGACTATCTCACTCTTTGAGCTATGAGATCACAGAAGCCACCAAGTGACTTTCCTTGAAGAGGGTAGTGGTTGACTTAAGGAAAGAGCTTCTGTAGCACATGCTCTTCTGAGCCAACCCAAGGCAGGAGTGGAAAGTACATTTCTCCTCCCAGTGACTGCCACCTGCCAATTCAGTGGTTCTGTCTTTCTAAACTTTGTGTTTCTTTTTTCTGAAATTCTAGGACCGCAGTCAGCCTGAGGTCACTGATAAGTACTTCCATGATGTGCCCTTTGAGGCCCATTTTGCTTCTGAGTTGCCTGATTTCCATGTGGTCAGTAGCATGCCAGGTGTGGATGGATTTACTCTGAAAGTGGATGCACTCTATAAGGTGAGTGTGTTGAGAAATGTAGAAGCATAGGAAGGCCACTGTAAAAGTTATAAAGGAAGATGATATTATCTCTGGACTGTTAGTCTCTTTTTATAGCATTCTTGCTGGTGGGTCTTTTTTTATTGGTGCTAAACTTATCATTCACCTCAAATTTTTACCATCTATCTCAATGGACCACAGCAATAATCAAATTCTTTAATTTGCATGCTGTCTTTTGTCAGTATATGCAACAGGGGTGCATATGGCACTCCAGTTTTTCCTAAATTCTTTTCTGTCACTTGCCTTTTTGGCCGTATGCCGCACCAGCTGATCTTCACAGGCATGTAGAAAATATTTAACAAAATAATAAATACAGTACAGCAATTTGGAATGGCAAGAAGTACTAATATTTGATAAGCAAAAGTACTCTCAATCCCAGTAATAAACATGAACTTACAAAATTAAATTCCACTTTTTTCTGTCTCTCAGTAGTAGTAATCTATGACCTTGGATTTCAGAACTATTGCCACTCTTCAGAAGTTAGTTCAAAACCATGGAGCCTTTCAATGGGGGCAGATGACATGGCAATAAAATACACAGTGGTTTAACCATTCAGAGGATAAGCCAGGAAGTGTTCAGATTTTGATCTGCATATTTTGCAGAGGAGGTGTTTAGCGGATATTTGTTGAATGACTCCATTTTAGCTGAAGTACATCAATAAATAGTTAGCATAACACGTCACTGAAGGTCGCTGGGAATAAATATGGCTCTTAATACTATTACTTCACTGCAATCAATAAAGACTAACAAATCATAAGTATTTATTTAGCTAAAAAGACCATGAAAGATAAATGTTTAGGGCTATTCCATACACAGAGAAACAGAAGAAATGCGAATAGCTGGTCCCAGATCACCCTAATTTGGAAACAAAATGGAACCTATAATATTTAGTTCAGTTCTTGATTAGTAGGTACCAATTGCTGCTAATGCTTTTCTTGAAACCATCTATCAAGGCTTGTGATGGCAATTGTCTTTCCAATGCCTTTCTTTTTTTTAACTTTATTTATTTGTTTATTTATTTATTTGCGAGAGAGAGCGCAAGAGCAGGGGAGGGGCAGAGAGAGAGAGAGAAAGAGAGTCCTAAGCAGGCTCCGCACCATCAGTGCAGACCCCATTGAGGGCCTGAAACTCACAAACCATAAGATCATGACCTGAGACAAAATCCAAAGTCGGACGCTTAAGGGACTGGGCCACCCAAGGGCCCCGTTCCGTTTCCTTTCTGAAGGAGTGGTCTGTGGGCAGCAGTGTCGTGTTCAGTTTGTGTCTCTGTTTCGCTCCTCCTGCAGGTGGAAGCAGGACACCAGTGGTATCTCCAGGTGATCTACATCATTGGCCCTGACACGATGGCAGGGCCCCGGGTCCAGCGCTCTCTCACAGCCCCTCTGAGGCGCAACCGGAGGGACCTGGTGGACCCCAGTGGCCATCTGACCCTTGATGATTCCCTCATCTATGACAATGAAGGGGACCAAGTCAAGAATGGCACCAACATGAAGTCCCTGAGTCTTGAGATGCACGAGCCGGTTGTAGCTGCTTCTCTATCCCAAACTGGGGCCTCTATTGGCAGTGCCCTGGCCGCGATCATGCTTCTCCTTCTGGTGTTTCTAGCAGCATGTTTCATCACCAGGAAATGCCAGAAGCAGAGAAGGAAACTGCCCGCTGAGGACATTTTGGAGGAACACCCTCTGAACACCAAGGTGGATGTGTCTAAGAGGAGCTCGGACAGGGTGGAGAAGAACGTGAACAGGCACTACTGCACCGTGCGGAATGTCAACCTACTGAGTGAAACCGAGGGGGCTTATGCATTCAAAGGTGCTAAAGTAAAAAAATTGAATCTGGAAGTCAGAGTCCACAACAATTTACAAGATGGAACAGAAGTGTAATGGGGGAGACCAATGTGTATTTTTTTTTCTAAAAATCATTTTTATAAAACAGGGGGAAATACTGGTATTTTTATAATCTTGCAGATTAAAAAGGGAAAACTACAGCTTTGAATGGCGGGAGGCACACACACATCACATGCATCGACTCACAACTGAGCTACCTCATTAAACAAAGAACCACTGAGACCCCAGAGTTGTGGAGCAGACTTCTTTTCAGTGGATCCCTTTTACAGTGTCAGCAGCTACAGACTGCTCCTTCCGTAAGGCTGGTCTTGGAAAGCAAGTATGTCGGTATCGGGCAGGGTGTAGACTATTCAGCTAGCTGATGGAATTCAGCGGACTGGGAGATGTCTGTATGATGTTAGATCTCCGGAGGGGCAGGGAGATAGGACATTCAGGGCCATTGGTTTTCTCTCCCACCTCCAGCTTTCTTCTACTTGGGCTTTTCCTGGGCCTGTGTACAGCAGAGTTTGGATTGCTGACGCTCGGATTCCATTCAGAATTCTGCTAATCAGCACAGCCTATATTTGCTCATTGTATCTGCTTGACAGCTTGCACTCCATGGCCTCTAACTGTCCTTTGAAAGTCCAGAGCCTTTTCATCTGGGGGTTTCCAGGTGTTCTAGACGAGAGCTCTTTTCCGTAACTTGCAGGGAGAAACCATAGAACCTCCTCTTCCCCTCCCCCCACATCAGATAACTGGCACTGCAGAACCTCCTCCCTTACAGAAGGGCAGACTAAAGCCCCGGGGGAAAGGGGAGACTGACAAGCACTCAAACATATTAGTGATGGACTGCACCCAAGGCCCAAGGGGACATCCCTGTTCCCGACTGGTTTACACTGCACCAAGGACACATGAAAACATCCTGCCTGACAAAGAACGCTGCAAAACAAGGTCAGTGCAGCCGGCCTTTTTATTCCCCATCGCTGTGGATGCTTAAAAACCCACCACACTTTCCTGTTGCCCCAGGCTTTGCCGACTCTGATAAGAGACAGCCCCGTATACTTGGCTGGCTGCGAGTTTTTTATTTTGTGAGCATTTCAGAAAAGTAAGTGATTCATTTGAATAAAGCAAATTAGGAGACAGCTCAGCTCAGAGTGAAATCTGAGTTAATAGATGCCAACTAGTACTCACAACAGATAAAGTATCAACACTCATAGCAGATAAAGGCACTGATCCTGGTATGGTTTTTCAGAGATTTCTCTTGGGGGGGGGTGGGTTCTTTTCTGGTAGCTCAGGCACTATTTTTACCATATCAGCACATGATAAGGCCATAAACATATGGCTTTAAAATTATTTAGTGTTCAAATAGCAGCTTAATGATTTTGTATGAAGTGTGCACATGGCTTGCTTTTGTGTTTCCTGTTTGTTTTTGCCTTACTGGCAAAAACATAAGCATGCATGTCATGTTGTTTTAAAATGAAGGCACAATTTCATTACCGAGGATAAAAAAAGACATGTTCTCTTCCTGATGCATGGCACGCCATAATCATGAGCAAATAATAGAGCATTCGCACTGTGTAATATTTGTATTAGAATGACCCGAGCCCTTTGAGAACATTCCAAACTACAAATGCTTTGGTTCTAAGAGCTAGAAGATTGAGCCATGGAAGGTTTTAGGCATCTCTACCAGACTCCAAGCTCTTGAGAAGAGGACCTTGTAAACCGTGCCTTTGGTTCTTCAGCAGTGCCTTGCACATAACAAGCACTCCAGAAATATTTGTTGCTAAACAAATGAATGGCGTCATGGGTGAATGGTAGAGGAATAAACTCGGGAAGGGGAGGTGAGAGACGATGGTGGCAATATCACACGGGAAGGTAGAGAGGAAAAAAAACCCCAAAAACTCCTTCTCTACTTGGATTTTAAAGTAATCTCATTGGGACAAAGAAGCACCACTTGACATAGGCATGAATCTAACAATGGTCCTAAGGAGGAATGAATAGAAAAATCATAATAACATATTAGCGGAAGGTGAAACTGTGAATTCGCCTCCCAGAGCAGAGCAGACTTTTAGAGGAAAGTCTGACTTAGCTCTCTGAGGTGAGTGAAGTTTTCAGGAGAGGATGGATTGAGCTGAGCCCAGAGCCTGAAACTGCTGACTGGTCACATGCTAGTTGAGACCAGCTTGGGTAATTTGGGGCAGAACTTCTGTATCAGCCTCATGAACATCCAGAATTGGTATCTCGTGGCTGGAGAGCTCATCAGCCAGGGTGGAATCGTCTCCAGAGCAACCTAGAAGGTTAATGCTAATCCTGCAAGGACAGAAAGCCTATCATTTGTGGAGCAACTTTTGATTTGGTCTGTTATTTATTGTTCCTAGTTGCCAGAATTCTTCCATATGAAAGCAGCACCATTTCATTTGCTCAAATAGTCTTCTTGCACATCCTTTCCACTACTGCCAGGTAGAATACATGCATGGGAAGAATGCAGACATGAGGCAGCGCAAAGCTAATGCAGGGGAAAAAATGGAGACTGAGACCTCCAAGCGCTCTTAGCCTCCGTGCATGTGGTCTGGAGTGACCAGGACAACATCCTGTGAGGACCTTGAGACGTGAACTGCCTGTGTGAGAGGAAAGCCTTGGAGAGAGGAAAGCCTTGGACTATTCCTGCCTCCCTTCCTTCCTGTGCTTCCCCCCACTACAGACCTTTTTTTTCAAATGCTGATACTTCACTAGTGGATGCACTCTTATTAAATAGAAAGTGTTAACGGATTTGAAGCTGGGATTTCCTCCTTCGATACAGCTTTTCCTTTTGTTTATGTTTTATATTTCACAGTAGGAATCAGATAACTCGGTGACTGATGCGGGATTATATTTCCGTCCAAACCTTCCTTTCGATTTCTCTTACTTGCTCACTAATGTATGTGTTTTACTAATCCTTTATACCATGCCCTTAGGTGAGGAGGGACAAAAAACCCTCAGGGGTGGCTCTTTGCTCTCACATGCTGGCTGTGAAGATTGAAAGAAAGAAGAGTCTGCACCTTTTTTCTGCCCTTTTATCGACCCTGGGTGTACTGGAACTTCCCCCAGACTCCTGTTGTTGGGTGTGGAAGTGGTGTCGGAATGTGTTTGCACGGTTGTATGATATTCAGTCTCAGTGTCCTGTAGCTGTTTGTTATTCTTGGATACGACACACATGCTCAGACTAAGTAAAACATTTGTGGTGCTGTCGACCTGATTTCTTGACTCAAATGATTTTTGTATTTCTAATACCAACTTGTGTGTTATGAATTTCTGATTTCTCCAGTAGCATATGCCACTATGTAAATTTGTATTAATAAATGACAGTCTGGTTGCATTGATTTTGCCATGTTCTTTTTAGACTATTCATCTCGTTAACATAAGACATCGCCTTTGAGATGGCAAAATCATCCCAAAGTTTGAAGCAAAGTTTTTGGAGAACACCTGCCTGAAGGGGCTGAATCTGAGAAACATATTAATGGTGCTAAGAGCAAGATGAAGAATAAATTACACAGCCCAGATCCTCATAGCTCATCTTCTGCCATCAGTTGAAACCCCAGTACCAAAAGGAATAATTAAAGTCTGTGCTAGACAATAAGATGATTATTTACACTGAATTTATTACCATCAAACCTTCTTAGTATTTTTGATAGAGTGTGAAAATGGCTGTGTCCTTTTATGCACTCCCCCAAATTTGTTAAGTGTCCCTAACTCACCCTAGAGATGACCAAGGCTCAAAAAAGTTGAAAATGGCAGTTGGAAGGCAAGTGAGCCCAGACTTGGCATTATACGAGCCTGTGTATTTGTGCACCTGTTCCCTCGGGGAAGCTGTTTTATATAAAAACCCTAAAATACTGCCAATGACGTTGACCAGCAGGGCCTCGTTGGCACCTTTTCATGGCACATTTGCAAACTCAGCAAGACTTGAGAGAGTATGTTTTCATGGAATCTGGGGTAAGGAGGGCACCACCTCGCCTCGAATTTCCTTAGATACTGCTGGAACTTAATATAAACTTCACTCCCCTGCAGTTTCCGGTGATTGTTCCTTACCTGACAGCAGGCTCTAAGCCCTGAAGCACAGTGCTCTTGGGGCCCTGGAGAAGCTGTATCAGGAACCAACCTATGAATCATTAGGATTGGCTATGAAAATGCTTCCTAAGACCTGAAATTTCATGGGCATAAACTTCAGAAATAAACTTGAGGGTGAGTGGCCGAAATTGAGTTCTTATTTAGATTTTGCAATACCTCACAGATGCGGGTTTTAAAGAAACAGTGTAGGAGCAGGAGAAGGAAACTATACAGAGAATATCTCATCGGGTTCAACCCCATAGAATTGTTGGTTTTGTAGGTGAAAAATAGTCCACTGTCCGTTGTTTTGTGTGTCTTGGCCTAGTATTAAAATCTCACAGTGTGTAATAGAGATTCTGTCCCCAAGTGAGCCTAAAGAGAATTCTAACTAGGAGCCTTTTAGAATAGTGCCCTGAGAATGGCTAGTAGGCGGGGACACTATCCAGTAATACATTGGGCACAGCTGGCAACCAAGAGCAGTTACTCCTTTACATTTTCTACCTCCTTCGGTGCTCATGACAGCCCTATGAGATAGTTGTAGATCATTGTCCTGGATAATTTCCTTTGAAAGCTCCCATATGAAAACTAGGATTTCAAATCTTTACCAGAAGGCCTTCACAAGCACAAACCGGTGTTTTCATATGGCCCAAAGCTCCTATAACTTAAGGCTTATCATTAAAAAGTTGGTCATTGATTAATACAATAAAGCAAACCCATCTTACAACTCTCTCTAAAACAAACAAACAAAAAAAAACTAGCAGTTTTGCCCCTGACTTAGTGTAGTTTAAATCCACCAACTTCCAAGACAGTTAGTTCTAAAAGTTTATAAGAATCCCACTCTCTGGAAGAATTTCCATAAATCGTTTAAAAAAACAAAACAAAACAGTTTCAAGCTGTCTCCCTTAAACACCCCACTAAGGAAATGTGTCCAAAAGGAACTAGTGCTCAATACTAGTGACTCTCACAAAAGTCCCTTTCTGCTGCTTCTGTCTCCACCCCAAGTCTCTGCCCTGTTTGTGCTCCAGGAAACCAACCTTCCGGAACCGCTTCTCCAAGCCTCCCTTGCCCTGTGGCTTCTGGTGGAGACTGGCCAAATGGAGAAACTGATGTGAGAGAAGTTAAGGTGTGTCTATTTCTCCCCCCTACTCCCCCCTGCCCTGCTGTGGCTCTGACGGGTTCCCTCCTGAGCCACGGCCCCTCCTCCACAGTCCAGTGCTTAAAATGTTCTAGCAGAGAAGGACAAATATCATATGTTTGCACGTATAGGAGGATTAGGAGGAACTTAATGGAGGACCATGGGGGAGAAGAAAGGGGGAAATTGTGGGGGAAAGGGAGGCAGACAAACCATGAGAGACTCTTGAATGCTGACAAAAACTGAGGACTGATGGATGTGGAGGGGAGGGGGGATGGGCATGGAGGAGGGCACTTGTGGGGATGAGCACTGGGATTATATGGAAACCAACTTGACAATAGACTATTTGTGAAAAAAAATAAACTCCTATTACCACCATCCCTCTCTAGCCCTACAAGTGTAAAGGTGGTAATGATTTCATCCTGGTCCTAATCCTAGGGGCTTCATCATCTCTGTGGACCCTTTAACCTAACCCCACCTACACTCTGTAAATAGTCCAATTTTAAAATTCTTTCATCAAACCCTTTGAGTACGCTGTTTCTCTTCTGCCAGAACTCTTATATAGTCCTTAAATTCTCTGCCATTTGGCTCTAGCTTTCAGATATATATCAAAGACAACGAAGCACTCAAACTCAAGTCATGTCTTCATTTTAAATATGCCCATTGTTATCGTCAGTGGCATGCTGATAAATGTTTCACAGCCAGCATTTGGAGTTAGGAGAGGCCTGATTTGTAGCATTGGCTGGCTCTTCTGGTGTAGATGGCCCACCATGGCCAATCAACCTACCACCAAATTTCACTGAACATAGAGTTGGGGAGCAATATAAAGGAAAACAATTTTATACAGCATTTCTACTACACAGATGTAATGGACGTAAATCCCCTCAAAAGCACTAAGAATAGTAAAATGTAAAGTAATTAGGAAATTTGGGTGTCTGTGTTTTTAACATACTTTATTCAGTTGTGTTTATTTAATATAATGTTTAATAATGGTTGTGTTTGCTTGAAAATTCCTAAAAATCTAGCACTTCACTTTTGCACGTCAAGCTAGCTCAGCCAGCACACCACTGTAAGAGCAAACATACCTGATACTGACAACCACTC